GAATGGGTTGCCTTCAGATATTGTGGAGGCAGTAAATTTAAGTGAGTTTTAAGAGAAAGCTTGATAAGTATATGAATGATAAGGGCTGGCTTTAAGATTTATTTATTTTTGTAAATTTATCTATTACTAGTTTTAGTTTAGTTTAGAGGATGGAACATCTCAGATGGACCAATAGGTCCCATGTTGTCCAAAAACGTTATGTTATGTAAATGTAAACTGTTATTCACAGAGAACTATAAAATTTTTGTTTTAATTTTTCTAACATGAGTTTGGCTGGTTAAACTGTTCTGCCAATCTTTTTTTTTTTTTATGGTATGGCATATCTAATCTCTACTTACCATTAACAACCCATATGTGTGTGAATTGACTCAGTGATCTAATATTGATTGAAAAAAATACATTTGACCATGATTGGAGGTTGATGTGTTTCTATTTTACTGAACTAACAACTGCTTTTTTATTTTTTGAAACCTTCGTGTGGAATCATAGGAAGCTTAAGTGGAAGACGTAAGTTTTATATTTTTGTAGATTTTTCTTATGAACTAATGCTATTTGTCAGGTTATGCATTGATACAAAACTATATATTATTAACTCTCAATTCTCGAGGCATTTTGAAATTATGTTGCATCTGTACTGTTGACTTAATATAAGGTAGTATTTACTTCAAAACGTGTTGAAGTGAATGTGTTTTTCTAATAACAAAACTGATAGTACAATATTTTATGAAAAGCTGTAGCATAACATTTATTATTCTATCATTCACTTTTTGAGTAATGATAATTATTAATTAATTGTCTAGAAATGTTTAAAATAAACGCATGTTAACTGAGTGTCTTTTTTTCTTCTAAAATGAAACTTTTCTAGAACAAAATCATGTAAACTTGAAAGGTTTATATGGCTATTTACCATTTTTAAAAATTTAATTTTACTACTTGGACTATTATAGATTATTTGACAGAATTATTTTGCTGACTTGAATGGCTTATTTTGTTGTTTACATTTTTTTTCAATTAAACAGATTTTACTTAGGCTGTAACAGATTCTTTGAGAAATCATGTTGCTATCTTGAGTGGCTTGGTTTGTTTGTTATTTTTCTACAAATAAGATTATTTTTACTTAGATGTGTCCATTATTTTGAAAGCTATAATTTTTATGTAATTCTGAAAAGAAAAGATAATTTTATAAAAATCCATTTTATTGCCAGTGAAGATAATGTTGAGTCAGATGATATTTATGTTAATAAAACTTTTAATGTTAAAATACTAAGATTTTAATGAAAATATAGTAATCTGTTATGAGTAATAATGAATTCTAAAAAAATTACAAGTTACCTTCAATAAACATAGTATTTGAAGATTAGTAGTGATGATAATGTCAACTATGGAACTCTCAGAAAATCTGAAAAACATTTTCTATGTGTTTATCAACAGATTTCTGGTCAGTTTCATGGTTGATGCCCGAGGAGGTGCTATGCGTGGTTGCCGACACTCTGGGGTAAGAGTTATTATTCCACCACGTAAAGCTCCAATGCCAATGCGAATTACTTGTCGATATCTACGAAAGGAAAAGCTTGCACATCCACCACCTCTTATGGAAGGTGAAGCATGTGCTTCTAGAATTCTTGAAGTTGGACCTGCTGGAGCAAAGTTTTTAGGGTGAGAAGCTCTATAAATTATACATTTTTTTCATAGAATTAATCATTATTTGATTAAAATTATTTTTCCCTGATTCTGGTATTTTTATTTTCAGATATGCAAATGAAATTCGTGATAAACGTCTATTAGAATAACTAATCTTTTTGCTATAATTGATCCTTCAAGATAATTTTTACAGATGTAATGAAAGTGTGGTAATTTTTATATTAGTAATAATGTCACAGATATGTTTCTAATATAATGTTGTTACTATGTTTTGAGAATAGACCTGTTATACTTGAAGTTCCACACTTTGCTTCCATGCGTGGAAAAGAACGAGAAATTACTGTGTTGAGGAGTGACTCTGGAGAAACCTGGAAAGAGCATGTTCCCCCACCAGATGATGCTGTTCATGATGTACTGAATGAGAGCTTTGAGGGAGAAGGTAAGTATTAGTTTCTAGCTGATATTGTTATGTCTCCGTTTGTTAATTGATTTTTCCGTAACTTCGTTCCGACGAAATTTTAACGACACAAGTCTTTACTTGATAAAACTGGTTTATTTTTTCCGAATATAACTTTACCGATATACTCAACTTCAACAATCGCGCTAAACAAACGCTATAACAACGAACGTCAATAATACTTCTGACTGCAGTTCAATTACTCACTATCTACACACACATTACATTACCTTCCCGCATCACGTTTTCCCCTCTTATATATACCAGCCTACCCTATCTAGTAAACACTAGAGCATTCGCCAAAGTACATGATAGTTCTAGAAACGTTGCGTCACATTAGTCATGTGACTCACTGACGCAACACTATCAAAGTAGGTCAACACCACGTACTTTTTTTTTGAAATTGTTAGACTATCGAAGTACATCTTCACCATGTACTTTGATTTTTGAAAGTGTTAGATTGTCGAAGTAGGTCTACAAAACGTACTTTGTTTTTGAAAGTGTTGGACTATCGAAGTAGGTATACACGAAGTACTTTTTTAATGTTTTGTACTATCGAAGTAGGTATACATCAAGTACTTTTTTAATGTTTTGTACTCAAAGTAAATGGTGTGGCCTGTTTCGAAAGTTCAACACTTTCTAGAAACAAAATAACTGGTGTAAAATTACTTCGATAGTTCAACACTTTCTAAAAACAAAATACGTGATGTTTAATTACTTCGACAGTCTAACACTTTCAAATATCCAAGTACGTGGACAGACGCACTTCAATAGTCCAACAATTTTAAAACAAAATACGTAGTGTTGACGTACATTTATAGTCCCACTCTTTCAAAAAACAAAGTACATGGTATAGATCTTCTTCGATAGCCCCACACTTTCAAAAAACAAAGTACATGGTGTAGACGTACATTTGTAGAGCAACACTTTCAAAAACAAAGTAAGTGGTGTAGTTTTTTTTATAATACTCCAACACTTTCAAAAAACAAAGTACGTGATGTAGTTTTTTTTTATAATACTCCAACACTTTCAAAAAACAAAGTACGTGATGTAGTTTTTATTAATATTCCATCACTTTCTAAAACAACGTACATGGTGTAAACCTACTTCGATAGTTCAACTTTTTTAAAAACAAATTTTGAGGTGTTGACCCATTTTGATAATTAAACACTTTCAAAACAAAAAATAAGTGTTGTAGACCTACTTCGATGGTACAAAACATTAAAAAAATACTTGGTGTAGACCTACTTCGATAGTACAAAACATTAAAAAAAGTACTTGGTGTATATCTACTTCGATAGTAAAAACCATTAAAAAAGTACTTGGTGTAGACCTACTTCGATAGTTTACCAAATTCAAAAAACAAAGTAAGTGGTGTAGACTTGTTTCGATAGTTCAACACTTTCAAAAAACAAAGCACGTGGTGTAGACCTATTTCGACAGTCTAACACTTTCAAAAATCAAAGTAAATGGTGTAGACGTACTTCAATAGTCCAACACTTTCAAAACAAAACACGTAGTGTTGACCTACTTCGATAGTCCAACACTTTCAAAAAATAAAATACGTGTTGTAGACCTACTTCGATATTCCAACACTTTCAAAAAACAAAGTACATGGTGTAGACCTTCTTCGATATTCCAACACTTTCAGAAAACAAAGTACATGGTTTAGACCTACTTCGATAGTTCAACTTTTTTAAAAAGAAATTTTGTGGTGTTGACCCATTTTGATAATTAAACACTTTCAAAGTAGAAAATAAGTGTTGTAGACCTACTTCGATAGTACAAAACATTAAAAAAAGTATTTGGTGTATACCTACTTCGATGGTACAAACCATTAAAAAAAAATACTTCGTGTATACCTACTTCGATAGTACAACACTTTCTAAAAACAAAATACGTGATGTTAACTTACATCGATATTCCAACACTTTCAAAAAACAAAATACATGGTGTAGACCTACTTCGATAGTCCGACACTTTCAAAAAACAAAGTACATGGTGTAAAATTACTTCGATAGTCCAACACTTTTTAAAAACCAAATACGTGATGTTGACTAACTTCGACAGTCTAACACTTTCAAATATCCAAGTACGTGGATAGAAGTACTTCAATAGTCCAAAATTTCAAAACAAAATACGTAGTGTTGACCTACTTGGTTAGTCCCACTCTTTCAAAAAACAAAGTACATGGTATAAATCTACTTCGATAGCCCACAGTTTCAAAAACAAAGTGCATGGTGTAGACGTACTTCTATAGTTAAACACTTTCAAAAAACAAAGTACGTGGTGTGGTTTTTTTTTAATACTCCGACAATTTCAAAAAACAAAGTACATGGTGTAGACCTACTTGGATAGTTCAACACTTTCAAAGAACAAAGTACGTGGTTTAGACCTACTTCGATAGTTCAACATTTTCTAAAAAACAAAGTGCATGTTGTAGATCAACTTCGATAGTCCAAGACTTTCAAATAACAAAGTACGTGTTTTACACCTAGTTCAATAGTACAACACTTTCAAAAACCAGTTTACGTGGTGTAGATCTACTTTGATATTCCAACGCTTTCTAAAAAATATACGTGTTGTAGACCAACTTCGATAGTCCGACACTTTCTAAAAACAAAATAGGTGATGTTGACCCATTTTTATAATTAAACACTTTCAAAATACAAAATAAGTGGTATAGACATACTTCGATATTCCAACACTTTCTACAAAAAAAACAAAACAAACGTGGTGTAGACATACTTCGACCGTTCACCAAATTCAAAAAGTCGAAGTGTGTCTACACCACGTATTTTTTTGTAGAAAGTGTTGGAATATCGAAGTATGTCTACACCATGTACTTTGTTTTTTGAAAGTGCTGAACTATCAAAGTAGGTGAACATCAGGTACTTTTTTGAAAGTGTTGGACTATCGAAGTAGGTCTAAACCACGTACCTTGTTTTTGATGGTGTTGAACATTCGGACATGTTTTATAAAGTGTTGTACTAACGAAGTAGGTCTATATCACGTACTTTGTTTTTGAAAGTGTTGGACTATCGAAGTAGGTATATACCAAGTTCTTTTTTTTAATGTTTTGGACCATCAAAGTAGGTCTAAACCACTTACCTTCTTTTTGAACATTCGAAAT